AATCTAAATTTTGCTGAACATCGAGACTGTTGTCTCTCATTTATAGCAGCAGGAAATGCAGCACCTTGAAGGGGAAGGCGCGCAGTCAATCCCGCCGGGAGCGGCCGGCCACGCGCGCGGCCCGGTTGGAGTGCCGGTGCAGGCCGTCCTCCATGGCGTGGGCCAGCAGGACCATGGCCTGCTCCAGCCACAGCAGCGAGCCCGGCACGGGCTGGCCACCCACAGCTCAGTAGCCTTGGCCCAGGCCTCGGCACAGTCGCTGAGCAGGATGAGCTCCGAGCGGTTCAGCGCCGGCAGCGCTGGCAGCATTCTGGAGCGGCAGGGCCGGCACCGTCATCGAGGGAGCCGGGGGCCATGCCCAGGGTGACCTCCCTGATGGCACTGCCACGTCCCACCGCTGCAGGTGGAGCCTGGCGGCCAAGGTCACGGCCAGCAGCAGCAGTGACAGGAGTCCCATGGTGGGCAGAGACAACCCAGGGACACCCCGGGCACTGCAGGGACTCTGGGGGGGATGCAATTCTGCTGCGAGGGGCTGAGGAGGTGGCAATGGGGACAGGGGAACAGGGACAGGGGACAGGGACAGGAGAGCAGGGACAGGGGACAGCACAGGGACAGGGAACAGGGACAGGAGAGCAGGGGACAGCACAGGGACGGGGGACAGCACTGATACAGACACAAAAGAGGCCTGGTCCCAGTACAGAGCCCAGGGAATCCCACTGGTGCCAATCCCAGTATGAGCCCAGGGAATCCCACTGGTGCCAATCCCAGTATGAGCCCAGGGAATCCCACTGGTGCCAATCCCAGTATGAGCCCAGGGAACCCCACTGGTGCCAGCCCCAGTAAGAGCCCAGGGAATCCCACTTGTCCCAGTACCAGGACTGAGCCCAGGGAACCCCACTGGTGCCAGCCCCAGCTGGATGTGGCCCATGCTCCACCCCTCTGAGCCCAGCAGTTGCCCAGTGAGCAGGGCCCCTGCCCAGGCCAGGAGCAGCCGGGCTCTCCAGGAGAATGCTGTGGGAAATGGTGTCAGAGCTTTACTGGAGTCCAGGCAGACACGTCCAAGCCTTTCCCTCAGCCACTGAGGAGGTCACAGTGGCAGATCAGGCTGGTCAGGCAGGACCTGCCTGTCACAAGCCCGGACTGGCTGGGGCTGATCCCCCGGTTTTTCTGCACGTTGCTGTGTAATATCTGTTCCATGGCCTTCCAGCACCAGGGTCAGGCTGGCAGGGCTGGAGTTCCCTGGATCCTCCTTCTGGCCGTGCCTGTGGATGGGCATCGCGCTGGCATCTCTGGGCAGCCAGGACGGATGATAAAAAACGGAGAGGGGCTGGGCCAGCTCTCCCTCGAGACATACATTGGGTCAAACCCCTGAGCCTTCTGCACAACTGTGATTCCTGTCTTTGTCCCTGCCATGATCTCGCACTTCTGCTGAGGCTTAGGTAGATCAATGAAACCATCCTCAAAGCATCACGGGTTTGCTCCATTGTGCTGCCTCTCCATCTCTTGGAAACAGAGCCAGGACCACCCTGCACTTGCAAGTCCTACACTTGTACAAATGCTCAGAGCTGGCCTGGAAATTTAAATTTCGCCTTTCTATTTCCTGATGGTCAATTCATTGTCTTTCTCACACCACCTGCCACCACACCTGTATTTCCTGGAAGTGGAGAGGAGACAGGTCTAAGGGCCATGTGACAGTGCTGGGGTAAAGAGATAGAGTAGGGATAAAGTTCAATGAGGAGAAACCGGACAGGAAAGAAAGAGAGTGACAAAGCAACCAGGAAACTGTGGAAGCAGGAGGGGATAGAACAGGGGGGACCGCAGTGTGCTGGGACAGCTCAAAGGCGATGATTCCCTTCGCTTTGAGCGGAGACCCGCGGGGTTGAACGCGGCTGCAGCGCTCTGTGCCGGGAGAAGGGACGGGAGCGGCTCCCGCTGCCTCTCCTGTGGCAGAGCTGATTGCTCGGGCCGCGGGTCCCGCCCAGGCGCTGCCGGACCGGAGCCGGTCCCGGGCGGTGCGGGCGGAGCAGAACCGTGCGGAGCGGAGCCGGTCCCGGGCGGTGCCGGGCGGAGCTGGAGCCGGGGCGGAGCTGGAGCCGGGCGGAGCCGTGCGGGGTAGAGCGGGGCGGGCCGGGTGGCGCCGGAGCCGGAGCCGGAGCCGGAGCCGGCCCCGGGGCGGAGCTGGAGCTGGGCGGGGCCGTGCGGAGCCGGGCGGAGCCGCGCCGGGCGGAGCGGGGCGGGCCGGACTCCATTTCCCAGCGCCTCCGTTTCCCAGGCACACCCGCGGAGGGCGGCGCGGCCCCGGGCGCAGGCCGGGAGCGGCCCCGGGAGCGGCTGCAGGCCCGGGCGGAGGCGGCGGAGCGGAGCGGGGGCGCTGCCGCAGCGGGAGCGCGGCCGCCGCTCGGCGCAGCCCGGCCCGGCCCGGCCCCCGCACATCCGGGCGCTCCCGCAGGCCCGGCCCGGCCCGGCCCGTGCGGTGCCGGCGCGGCCCGGCGCGGCCCGGCGCGATGCTGCGCTGCATGCCGCCGCTCTGGCGCTGTAACCGGCACGTGGAGGCGCTGGACCGGCGGCACTGCTCGCTGCAGGCCGTGCCCGAGGAGATCTACCGCTACAGCCGCTCGCTCGAGGAGCTGCTGCTGGACGCCAACCAGCTCCGCGAGCTGCCCAAGGTGAGCCCCCGAACCGGCACCGGCACTGGCACCGGCACCGCCGCCCCGCGGCCCGGCCTGGACCGAAACCGGCACCGGCACCGAGCGCTGGCCCGGGCCGCTCCGGGCACCGGCACCGAGCGCTGGCCCGGGCCGCTCCGGGCACCGGCACCAGGACCGAGCGCTGGCCCGGCCTGAACTGGGACCGCAGCCAGGACCAGGACCGAGGCTCCATGCGGCCAGCACGGGCCCAGACCCCGCTGAGCAGGAGCCCCTCCGGCTTCTCGGCTCCCCATTACCGGGATAAAGGGAGATCGCTTTACCTCGCTTTACCCGACTCATCAGTTCTGTGACGGTCGCAGCCACTGCCAAGCAAAGCATAACATTAATTAAGCAACTCTGGTTTAGTCAGTAAAGTGCAAAAAGTGTCAAGTAAGTTAATTAAAAGCGATGGAGCTCCTTTATAGTTATGATCATAGGGCTGCAGAGATGCTCCAAGAACTGGAGCATCTCTGCCATGAAGACAGGCTGGGAGAGCTGGGGATGTTTGGCCTCACGAAGAGAATCTTGGGGAGACCTTGGAGCCCCTTCCAGTGCTTAAAGGGATTTCAGGAGAGATGGAGAGCACTTGGGACAAGGCGGGATGGCTTCCTACTGTCAGAGGGCAGGGTTAGATAAGATATTGGGAAAAAATGATTTCCTGAAGCGTGGTGATGCCCTGGCACAGGTTGCCCAGATCAGCTGTGGCTGCCCCATTCCTGGAAGTGTCCCAGGCCAGGCTGGATGGGGCTCGGAGCACCTTGAGATAGTGGAAGGTGTCCCTGCCTATGGCAATGGGGTGAGAATGGAGTCTTTAAGATCCCTTCCATCCCAAATAATTCTGTGATCTGGGGCTCCAGCCTGCACTTGCAGCTTCTGTTGCCATTCTGTTCAGCCACAGAGCTCAGCACTCGGGGAGCAGCAGGATAAACTCCCTGTGTGCTGTTCCCTGCCACCGTGCTCTCTGAGCTCNAACCAGCTCCGCGAGCTGCCCAAGGTGAGCCCCCGAACCGGCACCGGCACTGGCACCGGCACCGCCGCCCCGCGGCCCGGCCTGGACCGAAACCGGCACCGGCACCGAGCGCTGGCCCGGGCCGCTCCGGGCACCGGCACCGAGCGCTGGCCCGGGCCGCTCCGGGCACCGGCACCAGGACCGAGCGCTGGCCCGGCCTGAACTGGGACCGCAGCCAGGACCAGGACCGAGGCTCCATGCGGCCAGCACGGGCCCAGACCCCGCTGAGCAGGAGCCCCTCCGGCTTCTCGGCTCCCCATTACCGGGATAAAGGGAGATCGCTTTACCTCGCTTTACCCGACTCATCAGTTCTGTGACGGTCGCAGCCACTGCCAAGCAAAGCATAACATTAATTAAGCAACTCTGGTTTAGTCAGTAAAGTGCAAAAAGTGTCAAGTAAGTTAATTAAAAGCGATGGAGCTCCTTTATAGTTATGATCATAGGGCTGCAGAGATGCTCCAAGAACTGGAGCATCTCTGCCATGAAGACAGGCTGGGAGAGCTGGGGATGTTTGGCCTCACGAAGAGAATCTTGGGGAGACCTTGGAGCCCCTTCCAGTGCTTAAAGGGATTTCAGGAGAGATGGAGAGCACTTGGGACAAGGCGGGATGGCTTCCTACTGTCAGAGGGCAGGGTTAGATAAGATATTGGGAAAAAATGATTTCCTGAAGCGTGGTGATGCCCTGGCACAGGTTGCCCAGATCAGCTGTGGCTGCCCCATTCCTGGAAGTGTCCCAGGCCAGGCTGGATGGGGCTCGGAGCACCTTGAGATAGTGGAAGGTGTCCCTGCCTATGGCAATGGGGTGAGAATGGAGTCTTTAAGATCCCTTCCATCCCAAATAATTCTGTGATCTGGGGCTCCAGCCTGCACTTGCAGCTTCTGTTGCCATTCTGTTCAGCCACAGAGCTCAGCACTCGGGGAGCAGCAGGATAAACTCCCTGTGTGCTGTTCCCTGCCACCGTGCTCTCTGAGCTCAGCACTCAGGGAGCAGCAGGATAAACTCCCTGTGTGCTGTTCCCTGCCACCGTGCTCTCTGAGCTCAGCACTAAGGGAGCAGCAGGACAAACTCCCTGTGTGCTGTTCCCTGCCACCGTGCTCTCTGAGCTCCAAACTCGGGGAGCAGCAGGACAAACTCCCTGTGTGCTGTTCCCTGCCACCGTGCTCTCTGAGCTCAGCACTCAGCGAGCAGCAGGATAAACTCCCTGTGTGCTGTTCCCTGCCACCGTGCTCTCTGAGCTCAGCACTCGGGGAGCAGCAGGATAAACTCCCTGTGTGCTGTTCCCTGCCACCGTGCTCTCTGAGCTCCAAACTCGGGGAGCAGCAGGATAAACTCCCTGTGTGCTGTTCCCTGCCACCGTGCTCTCTGCAGAAGCAGAGGGACTGGAGATCTCCACTGCCAGCTTAGCCCAGCATCTCGTGACTCCCAAGGGTTTGCTTTTGCAGGGCAGGGCGCTGAGCTCTCGTGTTTGGGTCCTGAAGTACCATCCAGCAGGAACCCAAGCCATGATGTTCCCATTCTGCCTGGTAATTTGGTACACAGGATGCTGCAGATGGGAATTGGAACCTCCTTTGGAAGGAAAAGGCCTTAGGACTGGGCTGTGGAATACTCCACAGGAAGTTTTATTGTGTATCCCCTTTGGAATTAATATGATTTTTTGAAAGTTATTTAAGTTCTGCCTGTGCCATAGGGAGAAGGTGTTTGACTGCCTTGTGTTTGGAGAGATGGTTTTCAGGTAATACAGACTGAGTTGTGTGTTTATTAAAAAAAATTGAGAAGTAGGTCATTGGCTTTCAAGGTTTTTATTGAATACCGACAAGTTATGGAATTTGTCATCAAATCTAGATTAAAAAAAACCAAAAACTTGCAAATCAGGAACTTTTGATTCAAACCAAAGTAGTTTGGTTCAGTTTTGTTAAAACACGCAGTTGGTGCATTCACACTTGAAGATTCTCTTGTCTGGAAGCAGCAGTTCTTGCTCTGGTATTTCTGGGTTCTGTTTGTCTTTCCTGCTTGTCTCTTCCTGAGCCCCGGTGAGCCTGGCTGCCTGTGGGACTTGGCTCTGGGCTGTTCAGGGATGGAGACAGCAGTGTGATGCTCTCAGCTCTTCTCTCAGGTAGCTCAGCATCTTGTTGTACTTTAGGCAGGGGATTCCCCAGACTGCTGGAAAATGTGTGTTACGGGCAGGCTGGGACAGAGGAGGGTGATTGCGACACAGCTACAGCGAGCCTGCTGGTCCCTGGGCTCTCAGCTTGGTGTCTCCTGCCCAGCACTCACAGCCTGGCCCCTGCTGCTCTGAGCCCTTGGAGCCGGGGCAGGCTGGGCTTTGTGAGCCCGCAAGAGCATCTTTTGGGTTAGAAATGAAAATTCTATACCGACTTTTTACTTGGCCCGTGACGGTGTGGGCACAATCCTGGCCGTGACGGTGTGGGCACGGTCCTGGCCGTGACGGTGTGGGCACAATCCTGGCCGTGACGGTGTGGGCACGGTGCTGGCCGTGACGGTGTGGGTACAATCCTGGCCGTGACGGTGTGGGCACTGTCCTGGCCGTGACGGTGTGGGCACAATCCTGGCCGTGACGGTGTGGGCACAATCCTGCCCGTGACGGTGTGGGCACAATCCTGCCCGTGACG